TAAAGGCATTGTATTGAATGACGTTTATCATAAGAAAAATTGTTAGCGTGATCACTTTAATAGAAATTGTAGAATAATTTAATATATTTTAATTATTTACTCATGATATAACTTAGGTTAGTCATTATAATTACTTACCGGACCACAACATAACTACATTCATCATTTTGAATGCTTTTTTCCCGAATATAACCAATTTGTCGATAATATGTCGGTTTAATGAGTGGTGAAACGGACGCAATCGGGTCCTCATTAAGAGAAATATGTGTAACCACGTGTTCGTACCCTCTGTTCCCGGACATAGCCTTAGCTTACAGTGTAGTACAAATCCCCATAGCAAACAACATTGAGTAAGCATCCTAGAATATTTAGGTAGACCACCTAGATACAGTGATGTGTCAAAAAATAGTACACGTGTTGAGTAACTAAATTCAATGAATATGCTGAGAGAATAATACGTGATAAATATTAAATAAATAGGAGTTAGCACATAAATCAGAAAAGTCAATAAATTATAATTATAATTTTTCCTTATTCTGAATTTTATTAGATTTATATAAAAATCAATGAAAATGTTGGTCACATAGATTTTGTCATAATTATTAAAATTATGATTGTTAATTGTAGCGTACACTTTAGTTTTAAACATAATGCTGAATGTTTAATTATAATTAAATACCGGTAGATACATGATACGGTGTATATTAATGAATATTTAATATTATCTAGATATAATTGTCAGATAGTTTATTAAATCCATTATAAATAATGTATATTACGTAACATAGTATTTAGCCTTGATTCATATTCATTTCTGTATATGTAGGTTATACTGTACAGCATTAAAATATACTGTAGTAGTGTTTTGAAACTATTAGAATTATTGATCATTGTGATCATTAATTATGTAAATATATATCTAATTATAAACTGTTTTGACATTTTTATTATAAATGATCACATTATTAATATTTTGATTTGTTTTATTAATTTAAAATCATAATTAGAAAAACATTTTGTTGGAAAATAAAAACGCTTAATAAAAACGACAACGAAATAAATGCATATTTTGGTTATTTTAATTTTTGAGCAAATTTGTGAACTAATATAAAATATCTGAAGTCTAATACAACCATCTATAAAATAAATATTAGGTTAACACATTAAAATAAATAAACTAAAACACAATGGTAACCTACCTTGCTAAATACCGGGAAGGTCATAACGGCTATCGGACCGATACCAGCGCCCAATTTCATATTACTGCTGAGTTTCTCGAAATACATTAAAAGTTTTAATTTAAATCTCAAACCAAATGTTTGTCTATTGAAACACCATTGAAGTCGTGACAACTTTTTACACATTTTATGCAAACGTTTCGATTCGAGTGCTGACCAGTACTGGACTCCAAACAGTATACTATAAGCAACGAGCAAATCGATTGAATATATGATCATGATAAATACTGTTAGTTGTTCAAATAGCACCTGGTTCAATAGTATCAGGGTGACAGGGAAGTATGCTAACAAGAATGCAAATCTTATGCCACTCCAAAATATATTGGACTGTGTAATAATTTGGCACAAATTGTTATGTTCAACAAAATATGCATTGATTTTAGTCTTGCCCTTGGGGTATAATTTAGCTAGCATATTACTAGTTGACCATAGGCTTTCAATATTTTGATTAACGTAATTAATTCTTGATAATTCATAAAAAGTTAAAATGGACATCATGGTTGCGCAAACAAAACAGTCTATATACATTATGGCAATAATTGTAATGAATGATATTTGTGCTAATATTGTCATTGAACCAAATAGTAACAATCGGTTAAACCCATTGTATTCAACAGCGTTTATAATAGAATGAATAGTGACCGAGATTACTATCAAATTAAAATTTATTTAAAACAAACATAGTACATATTATGATCATTATATAATACAGTATTATAAATTTACCTACGGATGAAATAGTGGCATTCAAAATATTGTAAATAGTTTTTGAAAAATTACTCAATTTATATATTAGTTGTTTGTTGATAAAAAGCCGAACCGGACGTAATCGTGTTCCCATTAAATCAAACAATTGTGTCCATCCATTGTCTATACCCCGAATTATAGGGTACACTCGAAATTTAATATTAAGAACAAGGCCAAACATCAGACCACTGGCCGCATACATACGGGAATATCGGGGTATATCCCCTAAAAATAATGATACATCAAAAAATAATACCTTGATCTCGTGATTAAACTCGGTAAATAGGCTAATAACATAATATACGAGAAAATGACATTGTATGATTATTATTAAATAACTGACAATTTTTATTATGGCATATTTAGTATTGTTATTTTGTCCATGATTAATTGTAGTAGTGTAGAAATTAATCAACAGGTTGGTTGCTGTATTAATGTTATAATAATTATTAATAATTACGGTATTTACTCTGTTCTTAAACATAGTTAATAGTTAGTTAGTTAATCAAAATATAATAATTTATTTAAATTACTATTCAGTATTAATGCAATATAACTTAATGTTTTATTATAAATATAATAAACAGTACATTTGTTTTAATTAATAAAATAAATTTTAATACTTATTTTTACCATAATTAATTGTTAATGTTTATTTATGCAATTTTATCAATATTTGAGTAGTATAATTAAATTCGCCGGTATGTCAATATTTGGAGAAATATAAAATATTATGTTTAATTTACTAAGATTAAAATAATATAAACGAATAACTTTTCATTAATTTTACATCTAATAATAATAATAATGAATATTAAATGTATTGTAAATTGTATTTATTGTTAGAATAAAATATGATAAACATTTAATTAATTATTACATATTAAATGATAATTAAATTTTCTGTGCAAACTTATGAGCCAGTAGAAAATATCGCACATACAGTACAATCATCTATCAAAATATATATTAATAAACATTATCATTATCTTTGCTATTATTTGAAATAATTTTTCTTGGAAATATAATAAAAATTTACCTTGCTAAATATTGGGAATATCATGACAGCCAGCGGACCAACACCAAAACCTAACTTCCTATCACTACTGAGTTTCTCGAAATACATTAAAAGTTTTAATTTAAATCTCAACCCAAATAACCCTCTTTTGAAACACCATTGAAGTCGTGATAAATTTTTATAACTTTTATGCATTCGCTTTGAAAATAATGCAAACGCGTACTCAACACCAAATAATACAATATATGCCAAACATAGAGACATAATAAACACGATGGTAACGTACAATTGTAGTCTCTCAAAAAGCACCTGGTGCAATAGGATCAGGGTGATTGGAAACATTGTTATAATGAACGCCATATTAAACTCACTCCAATAGGTGTTAAACTGTTTTAGTGTTTGACACAAATTGTTATGTTCATCCATGTATTTTTTGACCAAATGCCTTTGATCATGTTTCATTTGCCTCGACAATTCAAATTCTAACCATAGGGCATCAATTTTTCCATTAATGTAATTAATTCTCAATAATAAATAATATGCTATTGTTGTGGCTAATGATGCGCAAACAAAACAGTCGATATAAGCAATATTGATAATAATTATATGAATTGTTTGCATTAATATCGTAATAAAACATCGAAATAATGATGAGTTAAATGCATTAAACTGAATGGCGTTCGTCAAGAAAAATAATGTTAGCGTGATTACTTTATCAAAAAAATTAAATACAATAATTAGGGATTATGTTACTTATCATAGCATGTAGTTTTTAAACAAGTGTCTAAATCCCGATTATATAATATATTTTATATAAATTATAAAATCAAGTGTAGATTTATTAATTACTTACCCAACCACAAAACAGTTACATTCATCATTTTGTAAGCTTTATTGGCAAATGAGGTTAATTTGTCGATAATATGTGTGTCGATTGATCGGTGAAAGGGATGCAATCGGACTCTCATTAATAGAAAAATCTGTAACCAATCTCTTGTACCTTTGGTTTCCGGACATAGCCTTAGCTTATAATGCATTACGAATCCAAATGTCAGGCAACATAAAGTAAACATTCTAGAATATTTAGGCAAACCACCTAAATACAATGATGTATCAAAAAATAATATACTTGTTTGGTAACTAAATTCATTGAATATGCTGAGAAAGTAGTACACGATCAAAATTATGTACATTGAAATGAGTATATTAATAAGCAGTTTAACTAGATAATTATTGTTATTTTGATGTAATCTAAATTTTATTATATTTATATAAAAATTAATAAGAATATTTTTATTATATTTAATTTTACTCTCATTAAAGTTATTTTCCACAATTATAGCATGTACTTTTGTTTTAAACATATTATTATTTGTTTAATACTAAAGTATTATTGTTAATTATAACTTGCGATTTAGCTCTAAACATGTTGGCAATATTGCTGATCATTTATCATAATATGTATATATATTATATATTAATAATGGAAATTAAAAACAACCAAATAAATTAATGTTCATTCTATTGATAGTTATTATTAATAGATAGTTTTCTAATCTATTGTAAATAATATAATGCACTATTTTGATTTATTGTCATTTCTACAGTATATTTATGCTATACATTACAGCATTATAATAAAAATATATGTCAAATTGTTTTGCAACATATTGAGTTTATTGATTTTTTTGTGTACATTTAGTACATTTTTATTTGTACTTATTGGAATAACATCATAATATGATATTATTATTACAGTATATATTGGTCACGATATTTCAATTGTTATTTGCATAATGATTATTTTTAACATATAATAATCTTTTCAAAATTAAACATTTATTAAACATTAACAAAATTAAACAAGATGATGATATAAAAATAATAGTGGCTCCTAAACTCACTCTAATTATACAGCACTAAATTATCGCAATTTTATTTATTAAAATACATTTGTTGACAATGCATAGAACATAATAATTACCATGATAGTTTATTTATTCAATACGCTTGAACAAACGAACAGCTTGATTACGTGGCCGCACTTCACCATCACTCATTAGCAAGTTGATAGATATTTTCTGGCTGTTAATTGCCCAGTTGCCCACATCCAACCAACCACTCCATTGTCCCGGCTTAGGATATACTGCACTTATGGCACCGTGAACCTCGTCCCATTTTGCCTCTGTTAATCTAGGTGCATTGTCTGATTGAATACCCTGACCAAAGGCGATGCTATCACCCCCTTCTGCCCGGAAAAACTGGCCCGCGTATGTGGCCGTCACATCTGACCATGTGTATTGTGGCCACAATGTTTTGGGCTCCACCTGGCCGGGCAACTGTACGTATATAAAACCAATCGGCACTTGGCTTTGAGACAACTGTGCGAGCTCCGATTGAAGTATACCCTGATTCACTTTTAATTGAGCGATGTCACCTAGAGCTTCATCTAAACGTTCCCAATCCAATGCCCCGGTCGATCGGCCCGACCACTTGACCACTCGCTTACAGATATAGGCATTTGTTTTGTCGCACGCTACATCTTTCCATTTGCCCAATTGACCTTGTTCGGCTACCATTTTGACATAGTTGCTATCGTTGATAGGGTGACCATCTATCCAATTCTCAAACTCACCGCTACTACTGTCCATCCATACAATGTGTTTGTTTTTAACGCCGGCGTTAAGCCATACGCTGTTTGATATGTTGTATTTGATCATTAGTTTGTTGAGATAATCTTGCTCAGCCCATGTGTTAATGGTAAGCAGGGATGAGCCCATTTCTTTCCAGCATGGGGTGGACACAGTATCAATGTCACCCAATTTATCATAATATTTATAGCATATATCGTAATTGTCGTCGTGAAATAAATCCCAACCGTCACCGCATACACCATCGCTTGTTATGAGCTTGGCTAAATAATGTTCATATAAAATATATAACAACTTAACAACAGTTTAACACTGTTAATCTATTAAAAATATATATTGAATATTATTTTAAGTTTAATTACATAATTACGTTAAATTATTATTTTATATTATAAACTAATTTGTACATACGTGCAAACAGCAATAAAATTAAACAAAACTTATACATTGCTATTCAACTATCATATTAATTGATATGTCAATATATACGAATTAATAACTAAAATTCTAGTAAATTATTATTATATCATTAAATTATCAGCAATTTAATAAATGCCAATTTCAGCAATATTTTATCGTATATTAATGTTCAATGTTACTTTGTGCAATTACATTAAAAATCTGATAATGTATTGTAAATAGTAGGATTAACATATTCTTTAAAATATATTTCTATCCTAAAAAGATATCTAACATAGATTACATTATAAATAAAGATAAAATTAGAAAAACAACTTGTTTTCAAAAACAATTTTTTAAAGATATATTTGTTTATTTTCACGATCACTTTTTATACTTTCAATTTTAATTAATTAATTAAATAAATAATTTATTAAGTATTAAATAAATAACTAGTTGATGATGAACATGGGAGATTTTCATTTAATTTATTAAATGTGTTTTAAATTTTTTGAGCAAATTTATGAGCCAGTATGAAATATCGCACATATAGTACAATCATCTACAAAAATATATGAAATGTAAATTAGTTAATTAAGATAAATAGTATGGTTAAAATAAATCAAAATATTTTGGATTCATACAGAAAGTTGTATTTTACATATTGATTACAACTTTACAGTCGGAAAATAACTTGCAAATAATTTATTATTACAATTATCAACATGTATGACCGGTTTGTCCACCTGCGTGGACATAGCATTATTGAAATGTGTTATTATTTATACACTATTCATAATTCATTCATATATAGAGTATACTAATATAACAAATAGGGTTTAAACTCATTTACTATAGATTAATAAACATTATTAGCATCAGGGCACTTGATGACTGCAATTATTGTAACGTTTATCATGAATAATAGTTGATTAATAAACTTGATGATTCATTAACAACGTTCAATATGTATCAGCCCTGGCCTCCCTCTAACCATTAATGATTATCAAGATTGACCATATAGGTTTTTAGTTTTATAACTCAAATTAATTACACTAAATTTATGTAAATTATTACTTTTAGTACGATTTCAAATTATTCAAATAAGATATATAGAAAAAACCTACCTTGCTAAATATAGGAAATGTCATAACGGCTATCAGACCAATACCGGCGCCCAATTTTCTATCACTACTGAGTTTCTCGAAATACATTAAGAGTTTTAATTTAAATCTCAACCCAAATAACCCTCTATTGAAACACCATTGAAGTCGTGATAAATTTTTATAACTTTTATGCATTCGTTTTGAAAATAATGCTAATGAGTACTCAACGCCAAAAAATACAATATATGCCAAACATAGGGTGACGATGAACATCATTGTAATGTACAAGTGCATTCTCTCAAAAAGCACCTGGTGTAATAGGATCAGGGTGATTGGAAACATTGTTATAATGAACGCCATATTAAGCCCACCCCAATATAAGTTAAAATGTTTTAGTGTTTGGCACAGATTGTTATGTTTAATCATGTATGCGTTGATTATAGGCTTGACATTGGAATGTAATTGTCCATGGACATTACAATATGACCAGAAGCGTTCAATATTTAAATTAATATTATTTACTCTCAATAGAACATAATAGGCTAATGTTGTAATAAAGGATGTGCATACAAAACAGTCAATATAAGCAATTTCTATAATAATTATTTGAAATATTTGCATTATTATTGTAATTAAACAACGAATAAATGATGAATTAAAGGCATTATACTGAATGGAGTTCATCATGCAATATATTGTCATCGTGATCACTTTATTAAAAAATTATTAAGTATTTAAATATTATTTAGTGTTGTACATTTACTTACCGGACCACAAAACAGTTACATTCATCATTTTATATGCTTTATTGGCAAATGCGGTTAATTTGTCAATAATTTGTCTGTCGATTGATTGGCGAAACGGACGCAATCGGGTCTTCATTAATAAAAATATTTGTAACCACTCTCTCGTACCCTCTGTTTCCGGCCATAGCCTAAGTTTACAGTGCAGTATGAATCCAAATATCAGGCAATTTAGCATAAACATCCTAGAATATTTGGGCAAACCACCTAGAAATAAAGATGCGTCAAAAAATAATACCCTTGTTGAGTAATCAAATTCAATAAATATGCTAAGAGAATAATACATGATAAAAATGATATAAATAGGAGTTAGCATATAAATTGAAAATTTAATTATATGTCTGTTATAATTGTTATTCAATCTAGATTTTATTAGATTTATATAGAAATCAACAAGTATTATATATTTGTCACATAGTTTGGACTATAATTATTATGGCTATAATTGTTAATTATAACTTGCGATTTAGCTTTAAACATATTGCTGATTAATTAATAATAGTGGCATTTAAAATAAACTATATTAATGAATATTGATTCTAGTTATTAATACTACTGTACTGTATACTTCACTATTTTGATTTATAGTCATTTTTATATTGAAGCTATACAGAATTATAATAAAAATGTACGAATGTACGTATGTCAAATTGTTTTTCAATATATTATGTTTATTGATTTTTATTAATTATGGGAATAAACGTCATATGATTTTATTCTTATTTTTATATGTTGTTTACAATGTTTTAATTATTATTCTAATAACGGCTATTTTTATTATATGATAATCACTACAAAATTAAATATTTATTTAACATTAACAAGTAAATATCAAAATTAAACAATGTAATGGTATAAAAATAATAATGACTTCTTAACTTACTCTAATTATAAAGTACTACTTTACAATACTAAATAATCTTGTTAATTAGAAATTGAGCATATCTGTTACGAACCAGGAGTTCACTTGTTATTTAAATATAAATTTAGTTTAAATTCTTAATCTTTGTGCAAATTTATGTACTAATATAAAATAGCGCACATACAATATAACCATCTGTAAAGTAAAATTTAATAAAATTAACAAAATATAAAAATTGAAACACATTGGTAATTTACCTTGCTAAACACTGTAAATGTCATAACTACCATTTGACCAATACTACTACCCAATTTTCTATTACTACTGAGTTTCTCGAAATACATTAAAAGTTTTAATTTAAATTTTAGACCAAATAGTCCTCCCCTTAAACACCATTGAAGTCGTAATAGATTTTTATACATTTTATGCAAACGTTTTGATTGAAGTGCTAACGAGTATTCAACGCAAAACAGTATGAAATAAGACGCCAGCAATTGAATCAAAAACATGATTATGATAAATAATGTCAGTTGCTCAAATAGTACCTGGTGCAATAGTATCAACGTGACCGGGAAGTATGTCAACATAAATGTCATGTTTATGTCACTCCAATATATATTGGATTGTTTAATAAATTTACACAGATTGTTATGTTCAACAAAATACGCGTTGATTATACGTTTGACTTTAGGGTAATATTTTGTGTGAACATTTCTAATCAACCATGGGCTGTCAATTTTGTTGTTAATAGAATTAATTCTTAATAACACATAATAGGTTAGGATAGGTGTCATCGATGCGCACACGAAACAGTCCGTATGTATTATAACTACTATTATAATGGATAATATTTGACACAATAATGTCATTAAACCAAATATTAACGATTGGTTAAAACCATTGTATTCAACGGCTTCTACAATGAAGTATATAATGAACGAGGGCACTATAAAATATAGTTTTATTTAGTCAAATGCAATTAATGTAATTTATATATTATGTATTATGGTACAAACGCATAAAAATAATAAAATACAAACTCACCAATACAGGCAATGTTTAGATTTACCATTTTAAACAATATATTTGCAATATTAATCACTTTGTTTATAATATTTTTATCAACTGATTGATTAACCGGACATATTAGGGTTCCAATTGATCCAAATATCTGTATCCAACTATAGTTTATACCAGATTTTCCCGGATATATCCTAAACTTAATGTTGATCACCAGACCAAACATTAAGGCACAGATCACATATATACGGCTATACCGGGATATACCTCCTATAAACAAAGACACATCGAAAAATAGTATCCTGGTCCAGTAATTTAACTCGGTAAATGAACTAATAATATAGTAAGCAATAAAATTAACGTAAATTGCTATCATTATATAACTGACAACTTTTGTTATGGAATATTTAATGTTAGAATTTTCTCCATTATAAATTGTATCAAGATAGAAATTAAACAATCTGTTCGTAGCTGTATCATTAGTATAATAATTATAATTGACTATCCCATTTACTCTGGTTTCGACCATGGCTAATAATTAGTTAATTTACTAAATTAATAAATACAATAATAATTTTTGAAATAAAAATTATTTTACTTATAAATCAAGTATGAATGCAATATAAATAATTATTTTATTTAAAATTTATATAATATGCAAAATATTTGTTTTAGTTAAAAAATATATCATTAAATATTTTAAAGTGTTTACCAAAACTAATTATCTACTATTTATTTTGTAGAATTGTTTCTATTTATTCATGCTACAATATTAATATTTAAATAGTGTAATTAAAGTTAGGCAATCTTATATTTAATTTACTAAAACTATAAATGTAATGTCTAAAAATAATTTTATTAATTTGACAACGTAAATATAATATGTGTTGTAAAATTTAATTTTTTTAATCAATATTATTGTGTATCCTATTGTTATATAGTTATATTATACTCGGATTTAACTACAAATTACATTAATTACAAATTCATAATTTACATTTAGTTTTAACCTTGAGCTTTAAATAATTAATAATTTAATGATGAATAATTTTACATTTCATAGATTGATAAAACTTAAATGTGTGCTAATAATTATCACTCATTGCGAGAGAGAGAGAGAGAGAGAGAGAGAGAGAGAACATTAATGAGTATTACAGTACAACTAAATTAACTCACGGTGAAAATTAAAATACACCTTGAACATATAATTTTAGTCACATTATTCACACATAGATTAACCTAATAGTTCAACAATATACTCAAGGTAAATCTATCCCAATTGGCCAAAAATTATGGTGATTTTGTAGCCTCACAACAATCAACCAATCAGAAAATTAACCCAGGTGCATACGATCGCACTATCGACTCATCGACTAGCAACTAGGTCTATTTCAAACGCATTTCAAATTACCATAATTTTATTTAAGCCACAAAATCATTTGCAGTCAAAACTGATGGAGGAGTCGGTCGACGACGAGGACGAGAGCAAGACTGCGGCCGACCTGTGCCGTCGGCTCCGGTACTACTTTAGCGACTACAACATCTGTACCAACGGTTTCATGCGTGACCTCAACGCCAAAAACAAAGGCTGTAAGTATTTTAACCACAATTTTTATCATAATTTTTACCAATATTTTTGCCACAATTTTTACCATAATTTTTGCCACAATTTTTACCATAATTTTTGCCACAATTTTTACCATAATGTTTACAATTAGCATGTATTTACCATTATATATTTTACCATTACAATTATTATCATGTATTAACTCACATGACCCGCTTTGCCGACCCTTACCCGACATTTAGGGGTCCGTTTCGGTACACTAATGACATTTAATGGAGTGCGAGCGCTGGTGGGCGCCGATCGGCAACGTCTGTGCCGACTGATGGCCGCTCTGCCGACCCAACCGTCCGATGTCTACGAAGTGGATACCGAAGCGATGACTGTCCGGCGCCGGGCAGACCTCCCGGTGCCCACTGATGCTCAGGCCGTCATCGCTGACCACAACTCACGTACTGTTCATCTGAAGGGCTTTCCAGTGGACAGTCGCGAAGAGGATGTGATCGCGTGGCTTAAGACCTACGGCCCGATCGAGCACTTGGATATCCGGCGCAAGAATACCACCGGTAAGCCATTGAAAGGGTGTCTGTTTGTCACCTACCGGTGCCGCGAAGTGGCTGAGCGACTGCTCCGGGAGCCCACCACCAGCTATGAGGGACAGGCGCTGCTGAAGGAGGACAAGGGTCGCTATCACGAGCGTAAGCGTGAGTTTGTGGCCAAAGTCCGCACCTGGAAGTCGGCCCATAGGGAGGCAAAGGCTGAGGTGGATGTCGGCACCGATGCCGGTGCGGGTCAGGCGCCTATGGATGTAGAGTCGGCCGAGAAGTCTGTATACATACCGAAACAGTCGTCGGTGTTGGAGCTGAAAGAGTTGCCCCGAGACATGGCCTACCAGGCGATCGCCGATTGGTTCAAAGGCAAGGCAACGGTGGTGTATGTGCTCCGGATGCCGGCCCGGGACAGGTGTTGCGTACGGATTAAGGGCCAGCCGGACGCCGACAAAGTATTGACAGCCATCAGGACCTCATCTGCAGCACCGGTAGACGAAAACAGCTCCGGAATCAGCGATGACTTCGTGCCAGTAATCGTTGACAACCAGCCCTGTGTGGGCCGAGTGCTGGCCGGCGATCAGTTGACGGACTTCTGGCGCCGTAATAACGAACGTATGGCGAAGTTGAGGGAACGAACGGAGCAAAAGGCCAAATGGGACCGACAGATGGTGGCCGCGGGCACACCCGGACTCACCAAACGACAGGTCGAGTGGATTAACAACAAAGTGGACGAGTGGAAAGCGGAGCCGGTGCGCGAGCCCGGAGCGGTGATGATCCTGAGCTCGGGCTGCGGCGGCGATGGCGGCACCGATCGTACGGATCAGATACGCGAGTACTTCAAGAGGTATGGGTCGGTGTTGGCCGTCGATCGTCGGCCCAATGGCTACTATTACGTGAGGTTTGAGCACCGGTATACGGCTCGCAATGTGTTGGCAGTGGTGCCTAAAGCTGGTGAGTTGGGAGTCCCGGACCCGTTGTCCGTCCCGTTGGCCGCCACCGATGGGAAGCCCGACGAGCGTCCGATTGTGATCCATAAGATATGGGTCGCCGGCCATGAGATGATGGCCCGCGAGTTGTCCGGCAAACCCGAGGAAGAGTATTGGTTGACGAGTATTGACGCCATTGAGAGGAAACGGTTGACCAAACAGATGATGAAGAATGCCCGGAGCCGTGCGGCCAAACTCGGGAAGCCATTGGTGGTGACGCTGTCCAAGAAGAAACGTAAGGGAAGGCCTCGCCGCTGATTGGCTGATGGATATGGACACTGATTATGGATTTTAGACCCGCTTTGGATATGGACTTGATTTTTGATAAAACCTATTATTTTTTGATTTTTTTGTGCCTTTTTTTTAATCTATTTTAATGTGTTTTTGAAACACATTTAATGATTAATGTGTTTTGTTTGTGATTTTTTTCTAATGACAAATGTTTTTTGCTATATTTTTCCAATAATCTGATTATTTAAATGTATATTTTGTTCTCGCATTTCCAATTTAATCATGTTTTTGCTTTCATATAATTTTTGGTATTGTTTGTATTTGATTTGATAACTAGTTTTTGGTTTACTAATAGTAATCATGTTTTTTTTATAAACTCACAATGTATTGGTTTCCCAACACTTTTGACTATCGATTGTTTATTTGAATTTTTTGATTTAATTTTGATTGCTTTCAAGTGATTATTAAAAACACAGAGATTTTTCTAATTTCTTATAATTTCTCACAAAATATTTGTAACTTAAAAACATTTACAACAAATGGTTAATAATTATGCTTTAATTAGTTTTTGTAATTCAATTATGATTTAGTTTAAAATTTGCACTATTTTTTAAATATATCGTTACAACCTTTTTTCTTTTTTTCAAAACTGTTATAATGTTTTCAATAAAAGTTTCTAATTTTTATATTCAGCAAAATTTCGTGACTATTTAATCAAATATAATTATACAATTTAATTTTGAAACATTGTATAATATAATAATAAAGGTAATAGTAATAATAATAGTAGCATCACTAAATGGCACAGTATTAGATACTAACTAGTTATCAGAAACATTGAATTAATTATTATTAATTAAAAACAACTATAGCTATAAAGACAGTTATAATCACATGGTTATATTATAATTCAATAGTTTATTACAAAGCATGATAAACATAATAATAAACTAACCAGGTGCACAATAAGACAACGGACAGTTGGGTCGGTACACCACCGCCACTACTTTCACAGCCCGCCCACTGGTGTTCCCATAGAGAGTGACCGGAATCGGCACACTTGGTGTCCAACACGCGGAACTCGAGGGTAGACTTTTTCTCCCGGAGCCAATAGCTCCGACAGTCGGTACAGTTCAATGGGTTGGCCTTCAGGCTAACTGTGTTGAGCTTGTCAGCGGCCAGGAAGGGCTCAAACACTGTTTGGTCCATGTATTTCAGGTGATTACCATCCAGGTTCAGCTGTACGCCACGTTTCATACGGCTCAGGCAGTTGGGATAAAAACTGTCGGCCCGGAGCTGATTGTGAGACAGGTCCAACTCGAGCGCCTGTGCGCTGGTCTCCCTAAAGTCAAATGTATTTTGGTTAACCACCTGTAGCTGATTGCCCAATAGGCGTATCCGTTGAATGCTGGGCAACTCCTGGAAGGCCCGGTCGCCGATCGTGTCCACCAGACCGCTGATGGCCAGTTGCCGGAGTCGGGGCTGCATTTGGCGGCCAAACGCTTCTGTGGGTATAGCTCTCAATGAGTTGAGACCTAAATCAATGGCCAGGGTTTCCAAACTGTGCATCGATGACAGGGCGTCAAACACCCGGTGCTCGTTGTCCGTGTCGTCCAGCGAATGGACATTAATGTAGACCTCTTTGAGTGCCAGTCGAGTGCCGTCAAAGGCCTGGGAGTGTATGCGCGTGAGATTGTGCTCAATGATGGTGAGTTTTTCAAATTGTAAATCAGCCAGGCAGTTTTTGGGCAACTCCCGCACCTGGGTACGAGTCAAAATAAGCTCGGTGAATGTTTTGTCGGCCACTGGGCCGCCCAGATTGTAGCTGATTTTGGCCATTATGTTTGCTACAGTTGCAGCGCCCGGTGCCGTAAAGTCCTCGGCCTTATCCGCAATGCATAGCAGTTTGCCGCTGGACTCCGAGCACGTGCACGGGTGCGCTGATTCCGGGGTAGGGCATCGCCCCCACCCCCGCCCCGATGTGTACAGTATTAGAGCTGTTAGTATGAGGGTTTTGGTTAACATTGTTTTTGGTGATTGAGGTGTTTTGTCAATGTAAATCACTTTATGATTGAACTTGTTGTAATAATTGATTGTTTTTCTTAATTACTACAATGTTGATTTAAATAATAGTTAGCAAGTAATAGATTTATTTATTATTAATTTGTAATAAGTTGAAATAATAGTTTTATTAAATTGTTAACTTTTTTACAGTAATTATGATATTAATAGATCACAAGTTGTTAACATAGTAAAAACAATTAATTATTTACGTTATCTTAATGTTTTAGCTACTGTTATTAAATAATGTGAAAAGTTATAAATATATGTATTTAATTGCATATAATATATTTGACGATAAAAATATATTTATCATTATTGTATTTTATAAGCATTTATTAACTTTTAAAATGGTGATTTAATTGATAGTTTTAATTATTTGCTTTATTATGATTGTAACAAATACACCATAATTACTGCCACCTGTGCTAAATTAGTTAAAATTATTAATTGCTAATAATTAAGATTTTAATAAAAACATTATTGTTAATTAATTAAATGTAATTTTAAATGTAAAATTAAAATTAACATAAACAATTCAATGTGGATACTCCCGTATAATAAAAAGTTAATTTAAAATATTTGTCCTACAATACAATTAAAAAGTTAATAATTAAATAGTTAATAATTTTTAAAATTATTTTTACCATTTTATTATTATATTAATTCTGCAATCTAACTTATAATATTTATTATTGCGTGTAAGTAATATTTAGTAACTTTAAGTTGTTTACAGTTTATTTAATTATGATAAAATTAAAATATTTAATTATTTTTCAATATTTTCATGAAATGAAAATCAATATGGCTTTAGACTAAACATACTTTTTTGTAATAACAAATTTAATTAATTTTTAAATTAATTAAAAAACAATGACAACACTATCGCTGCTGAAGCATAGGTCAGAGTTCGGGTCACTGAAGATCAGACCACTGTTTGACCGAAAAGTGAGTCCCAATCCACACCACAAATGGTTGTCAAAAGAGTTGATCCAATGGTCGAAACGGTTCGCCGATCATAACCAACGCTTGGATGAAATGTCTGTTTTGTTTACGAGTTATATGTATAGCGGTTGCCAACAGAGGGTCCGATTGTTAGCTGTGGGCAAATTTGTATGTTTTGCCTTTTACCTTGATCAACACAAGGAAAAAGCTTGTAGGGAACGGTCGGCCCCTTTGATGGTTGAATTGATTAAGAAACTGGTGACCACTGTATTGACCGGACGTACGGCTAAGGAGTTTGTTTTAGGTTTGTATTAACCCATTTAACAGATACTGTGTAACTATTTTAACTATTAAATTGAATTACTTTAATAGGCAGACGATTATTGGATTTGATGGAGGGATTGAATGTGTTTATGACCAGAGATCAGATGACAGACATGAGACACAGATTGACAATATATTTTAAAAGCCATCGGGAAATACATTGCAATTATTGGCTTAAGAATCGGTTCATACAATACGATCAATACTACGAACTCAGGAGCAAAGAATCGGGTATTGATTTGTATTGAATTGTATTTATTTAGGCAATCAATAAAACTAATTGTTTGTGTTATTATATTTTATTAATATAAATTATTACTAGATAAATATTATTAATTATAACATTTATTAAACATTTAAAATTTATTATTGTTATTAAACCATAGGCTGGTTATTGTTGGTATCACTTATGGAAATCATTGTCGACTATAGGCCACCCGATTCGGTGCTCCGGTATTTATCTGTGGACAAGTTGGTCACATCGGCCACACGATTAGGTCTGGCAGTCGACGACTATTTGTGTTTTATGCCAAAACTGGCCGCCAATGACATCACTACTGGTGTCATGTCTTACGCCTCGACCAAGAAGTGCAGTCTTCAGACGGCACTCGACTCACAGTTTCAGCTCATTAAGCACTTGGAGGCCGAGTGTCAGTCCCTCTCCTCGACTATAGCCAACAAAGTCGGTGCCGAGTCTCAGACACCGGCACTCATGGCATATGTGAATGCAATGATGGATATGTCTTATGGTGTTTCCCAAGCAATTGAAATGTTGTTTAACTTTGAAATGAATGATGGCTTGATTTGGTGCCCAAAGTGGGATCAACTGATCGTGCTGGAAATCATTCACAAATAATTTCAATAATTAATTTTAAGTTTTTTCATAAATATTTTTGAGAATTGATATATTTTGTCTGAAACTTAATGACTTATTTCTCAATAACTAATGTTTAATTATTTTCATAAATTACTTATAAGTTATAACCAATCAGAATATTTTCACCCTGTGTGAAATACACTGCCATATAAAGCAGTGCATAATGTAGTGCCGATTCACTCTCCATATACTGTGTTTAATACAATTTAAAATAAAACATTTATTTCAATTAAATAATGTGTTTTTTATTTTGAATGGGACTTAACCTAAAACATGGTCGTAGGCCGAGGCATGGCGTGAAGGCCCACTTAAAGGCAGTAAACTCATGGATGACAATCTGGTTTCCTCTATCAATCCTTTTGATAAATACAAATTATATTTCATTTACAAACAGAAATTATTAAACTAAATAATAAAACACGTTATAAAATGCAGTAAATATATTCACAATTCATGTAATATTTTCTATTTATTAATATTTTAATATAAAGTTATAATTTTAGTATTAATAATTGATAAATAGTTAATCTGCAATTAATGTAGATAATAGTATTGTAAACATTACTTACAGTATTACTTAAAAATATACTAAAAATTATTAAAAAGTACCTAAAATTATAAAGTTGCTCACAATATAATAATTATGATAAGATAAAATTAATATTGCAATTTGATATATTTTCTAACAAGATCTTCATTGAGTCAACTTAATGAGTCAACTATAAATGTATATTTATAAATTAATTTTAAAACTTAATATAATAAATTGTTTTATACAATAATTTACTATTACGTTTATTACATTTTATTAACTTTCATTTATAAACACTGTATAAAATTTAAATGTCTGAATCGAGAGAAAATACGGTAACTAACATCGCGGTAAATGATATGACAAAAGGAGAACAACCGGTGGATATCAACGAGAAATGTCTGCATTTGTGTCAAAAGTATTTGTCAGGCGTTTGGACTCAACTGACCGCCGATCGCATCCGTATCACTCGACTCACCGGAGGTCTCACTAATCAAATATATTTATGCGAAATCATCGGTAAGACTGAGCCTAAGACGGAAGACGGGGAGGAAGTGGTGACCAAAGTTGCCATCAGATTGAATGGCGAGAAGTACGACAACAAGAGCTTTGATCCGCAAAATCCGCGCTTTAATGACACGATTACAGCGCCACTCATCTCGTCGTTAGGCATTGGGCCGCGACTGTACGGACTCGACCCCAGCGGACAAGTGCTACAGTATGTAAAGCACCGGCCGTTTGACAGAAATGATCTCATTAATAGCGAACTCATGGATCAATTGGGCCAACAGTTGGCCCGTTTCCACGCCATACGGGCGCCCATACGTCGTGACCGGTGCGCGGCTTTGCATTTCATGACTGCAATGACTGACCAAATGACAGATCTCGTGGTCGGAGAGAAGCGGGACTTTTACCGCCAACACAATGGCCAGACATTAGCCGAGTTTGATCTGAAAGGAGAGATACAATGGATGATAGACTACATCGCGAAGCACTGGTCAGACAGTCCGCTAGTGTTCTCGCACTACGACTTCCGGGACAGTAATATAATGGTCACCGACAGCAACACCGGTGACGGACTCCCGGGGCTTGTATTGTGTGACTTTGAGTACTCGTGTTATACCCGACGGGGCTTTGATTTTGGAAAATTTTTTGCCGGTTTTCTCACCAGTGATGACAACTTTGATGATAGCTTTCCGTTGGAACCGATCATTGAGTCTTTCGTTAAGAGTTATATTAATGAATGCCAGCGCCTGTCAAGCGGTGGTCACAAGTGTTTGGATGTGCAGAGTATGGTCCGGGAGGTGGAGGTGTTTGTTATGTATTATTATCTGCATTTAATCGCCAGTTTAGACGACAAAGACATGAGATTGTGGTTACCTTTTGATGACAAGACTTTGGTCGCGATTTCGCTCAAAACTTTACACATTTATAAAATGATTAAAAAATTAATTATTAATTAGTTGTTAATGTTTTTAGTTATAATTATTCGTAAATTATATGATTATGTTTTATATAAATTTTGGATAAATAAAGAGAACTTTATTTAAAAACGCTTTAACAATAGAGTTCAAACCAATAACCTAAATTATAAATGTAAATATTTTTATTTTTACCTACAATCATCTCTGAAATAAATATTCAATAGAGTCTGACTATTAAGTGTAATCTATAAGTGTAACCTTTTTCCATATAAACACACCATTTTTCACAAAATTTAAAATAAAGTTGTAGTTTTAAAACAAAATAAAAGTTTTGAATAAATGAATTAAAAGTTTTTATTAAAGTTAAATGAAAATGAAATTTTTCGTAAATTCTTTATATAAAGTAATAATCACAACAACAAAATAAAACTACAACACATCAAATTTTTAAAATTAACTTTTAAATTACAAAAAGGTAAATAATCGTAAAATGTGCATTTTTATTATTCTAAGAAATTTAGCGATACGTTAGCGGCATTACACCCGCCATCGATGCAAACGCTGGCGCCGGTAACAAAGTCGGACCCATCGCTGGCCAGATATAGTATAGCGTTGGCCACGTCGTCGCCGGTGCCGCTCCGGCCAACCGGCAATACGGCGCTAAACTTGTTGTATATGTTGCGGATCACATCACTGGACACACCCATTGCCTGCAAGAAGTTGCTCCGAATGGGACCCAAACTAATGTGCAAAACAACATGCACAGTATTTATAAACAACATGGTGTAAATTATATAATGACATTTACATTTTCTGCTTGTTACATTTACTTTTATTAGCATAAAAGCGTTCAATAAATGTTCATATGTGCCGTAATTGTAGAACGAATCACTATTCTATATTCTATTAAATCTAGCATGATTAAAATTTAGAGTATTTATTTTTACACAAACTGAGAACAGAATTTGTTCAAAAAAAATAAGAAAACATTTTCTCGTTTGATAAAAAATCATACTAACTTGTAAGTACTAAATATAGCTAAAGTTAAATAATTAAATAATTAGTTAAATAATTAAACTTTACTTGAGCGCGTTCACTCGGATGCTTTTAGGTGCCAACTCGGCGGCCATACACCGGGTGAACATATCCAGAGCGCACTTTGCCATACAATAGGGCGAAAATAACATCAACTGTAATATTAATAATGTCAATTAAATATCATGCTCTATATAGAGATATTGTGGCTAGGTTATTAATATTTGTAAATACTTACGGAACGTTTTGAGGCAACACTCGAGATGTTAATTATATTTCCATTGGTTTTCGCCAAATACTCGACACATATATGCGTTAAATATACGGCAGAATTGAGATTAATTGACATCACTTTCTCGTATATCTCGTAATAGTCGGTGTCGTCAATACGGGCGGCAATCCCAGCGCCGGCGTTATTGACCAGAATATCAAGTTTACCAAAATGTTTGATAGTCTGGTCGACCAGTCGTCTCATGTCCTCTCGTTTGGTCACATCTGCCGTCACTTCCAGCGCTTGAATCCCTTTCGGCGATACTTCCAGACACTGTTTGGCCGTATCTGTCGGTAGACAATCAGCCGGTCCGGTGACCACCACTTGAGCGCCGGCTTTAGCGAACTGGACAGCAGTGGCCGCACCGATGCCCGAACTCGAGCCCGTGATTAACACTACTTTACCCGCGAAATTGTATTTAACAGACATTTTAAGAAATATGTTTATTATTTAATTACAACTTCTAAAACTAGATTTTTTAAATTATTTCTATTAATACATTTTAATTAATATATTTTTAAATAAAAATATGGTGTTTTATAATTGAATAATTATTTATAATGTTTTATAATTATTAGTAAATTATATAATTATGTTTTATATAAATTTTGGATAAATATTTACAAACATTTTTAATTTATTTCAAAACAATAAGTTAAATTATAAATATAAAATACTTATATTTTTCCCTACAATCATGAGTGAAATAAATATTTGATAAAATTAAACTATAAATGAATTAATTGTAATATTTTTTCACATAAACATTGCCGACAATACACACAAACTGTACCTAAACTGACCCAAATTTGGCCCCTATTTAAGCCCAAATTGTATAACACATACACACAGTCTTAAAACGCGAACACTTTATAACACATTCACATTATTTTGTGTGTTTTGCACTATTTGTGCAAAATTTAAAATAAAGTTGTAGTTATAAAACAAAATAAAAGTATTAAATAAATATCACACTATGTGTATATCTCTGTGACTTTTCCATCGAAACATATATCACATTGTATTGTACTTAACTATACCTTTGGCTATTTAAGACTTACTCCAAAGCATGTATTGATAACCAAGCATAGAGTGTGTAGACTCTGGAGTGTGCACTTCGGTGCCTCTCCCAGCAAACCATGTAAACTATAATAAACATTGTTATCGTTAAGCGAAGTCTATTTAATCAACCCTTCGGTGGACATAATTATTGGAGGCGTAGCCGAAGACAACACCCCTTCCCTCGGCTTCCCTCCATAAATAATTATAAAATGTGCATGTTTATTATTCTAAAAAATCTAGCGATACGTTAGCGGCATTACAGCCGCCATCGATGCAAACGCTGGCGCCGGTAACAAAGTCGGACCCATCGCTGGCCAGATATAGTATAGCGTTGGCCACGTCGTCGCCGGTGCCGTTCCGGCCAACCGGCAATACGGCGCTAAACTTGTCGTATATGTTGTCAATCACATCACTGGGCGCACCCATTGCCTGCAAGAAGTTGCTCCGAATGGGACCTAAACTAGTGTATAAAACAACATGTTTAGTATTTGTAAACAACAGGATGTAAATTATATAATAAACTTAACATTTTGCTGCTTGTTACATTTACTTTTATTAGCAATAGGGCGCTCAATAAATGTTCATATGTCTCATAATTTTTTTTAAACAAATCAAGCTAATTTGATACTGTTTTCAGATTCTAAGAACACTACTCTATATTCTATAAAATGTATCATGATTAATTAAAGTTTAGAGTATTTATTTTTACACAAACTGAGAACAAAATTGTTCAAAAAACTTATTGAAAACTGTTTCTTGTTTGATAAAAGTAAATAGCGTTTATGTACTAAATATAGCTAGTTAAATAATTAAACAAAGTTTACTTGAGCACGTTAACTCGGATGCCTTTAGGCGCCAACTCGGCGGCCATACACCGGGTGAACATATCCAGAGCGCACTTTGACATACAATAGGGCGACATTGACACCGACTGCATAATAATAATGTTAATTAAATATCATGCTTTATATAGTGATATTCTGGCCAGGGTTGCCCAATACTTTCAGGTTATTAATATTAAATATTAATTACAAATACAAATTTTGTAAATACTTACGGCACGTTTTGCGGTGACACTCGAGATATTAATTATATTTCCATTGGTTTTCGCCAAATACTCGACACATATATGCGTTAAATATACGGCAGAATTGAGATTAATTGCTATCACTTTCTCAAACTTGTCGTAATAGTCGATGTCATCAATAGTGGTGGAAATTGCGGCGCCGGCGTTATTGACCACAATATCAAGTTTACCGAAATGTTTGATAGTCTGGTCAACGAGTCGTCGCATGTCTTCCCGTTTGGTCACATCTGCCGTCACTTCCAGCGCTTGAATCCCTTTCGGCGATACTTCCAGACACTGTTTGGCCGTATCTGTCGGTAGATTATTGGTCCGTCCAGTAACCACCACTTGAGCGCCGGCTTTAGCGAACTGGACAGCAGTGGCCGCACCGATGCCCGAACTCGAGCCCGTGATTAACACTACTTTACCCGCGAAATCGTATTTAACAGACATTTTAAGGAATATGTTTATTATTTAATTAAAACTTCTAAAAATATATTTATTAATTTATTTTATTAATTAATATTTTTTGGTGAAAAATGTGGTGTTTTATAATTGAATTATGTGTTGTAATAAAACGCACAAAATTTAAATGTTTATTACAAATAAATACCTGAATATTTAAAAATTAATTTATTTGAATTTATATTGTTTTACAAATAAGAAATTGATAGAAAAATGAGTTGTCGTTAGTTTTAAGTGTATTTATTATTGCATTGATTTCCTTATGATTAGTGATAACAGACTTATCAATAGACCAGTCGTTATAGTCATGTAATACTCGGCCACTTGTCGGCCGCTTGTCTGCTATCGACTCAAACATCGATGCAATCGTTTCATACAATTTGTTAAAATTGACGGCAAATTCGGTAAAACTATATTTTTCTGTTGGATTTTCACTTAAAAGTAAAAATATTTTAATTTAGTGTAAATTATTATAATTAAATCATATTTATATTAAAAAAATAACATACATATTGAACAAGTTAAACAAATGGTGTGCAATTACTGCCAGGCTATAAATGTCCACTTTGATGGTATACCGGGACTGATACACTTCTGGTGCCATATATTGCGAAGTACCCACATTTCCCGTGTGGCTCATGGATGTCATCTCATGATTGGTGGCTAAACCAAAGTCACAAAGTTTAACAAACCGGTCATTAATGCCTTTATTTTGCGAAATTAATATATTATCGGGTTTGAGATCCCGATGGATAACCGGTGGACACGACTCGTGTAGATATTGGACGCACTCTAAGAGCTCTTTGAATATTTCACAGCAAATAAAATACTCAAATACTTTGATCGGGTCTTCCGGTTCTCTCCCGAAGACAATCGGTTTGTCTGTGAGAATAGACCGAAGACTTTGAGAGCAGTACTCCATTTGAATGTACAGATGATTGCACTCAAGCCATGAGTTGTAATATTTAACTACAAAATCTGAGTCTAGTTTTTCCAGACTTTTCACTTCATTCATAATTTTGTGTTTATTTTCTTCACTAAAATCTATAAAAATAAATAAAAATTAATTATTAAAATAAATTAACAAATTATATTTACCATCAAATTGTACTTTTTTAACAGCATATATTTTATTATCAAATTTTTGTTTAACTTTAAATACTGTGCCAAATGATCCGGAACTTATATGAAGTATCTCAGTGAATTGGTTATTAAAATAAAATTCTACAATTGCATCATGGTCACTTTGAACGGCACTATCATTGGATTTTGTGTTATTTAATTTACAGCATAAAAATTCATAGAAAAATGTATTTTCAAATGATTTAAATCTTTTTAGTGTTTTTTCAAAATCCTTGTGATTAACAATAATTGACTTATCGATAGACCACTGGCTGTAGTCTTCTAATACTCGACTACTGGTCGGCCTTTTGGTGTCCGTGTATTCAATCATTGATAAAATAGTTTCGCATAACTTGTTGTAATTGGCCGGAAATGCAGTCAAATTATAAATCTTGGTTACATTTGCCCTGAACAATGTAAAATATAATTTTAATTAATTGTCCATTTCATGCTGAATGAGTAATTCAAAATAACATACATATTAAATATATCAAACAAATTGTGTGCAATCACTCCCAGGCTATAGATGTCAACCTTAATGGTATATATGGAACGATATGTTTCTGGTGCTATATATTGTAAATTCACGGCATTATTCGGGCGGCCAATGGACGTGGCCAGAGAAAAAGCACCAAGTTTCAAAAATCTATTATTACTACTGTTGTTGTAAGAAATACGTATATTTTCAGGTCTTAGATCTCGATGAATAACAGGTGGCGTGAGTTCGTGGATATACTGCAGACACTCCAAGAGGTCGCGAAATATTTCACATGAAATATAATACTCAAACACATTCATAGGTTCGGCCGGTTGTCTGCCTAACAGGTCTCGTCTCCACCGGAGTATAGAGCTTAGCGTTTGCGGGCAATAATCCATTTGGATGTATAGGTACTGTCCCTCTGACCACAAGTTGTGATGTTTGACCACAAAATCTGAGTGTACTTTTGCGATAATTTTTGTTTCACTTATGAATAGGTTTTTTGTGTAGTCTGTAAAATAATTTTAATTTATTAAATATTTATTTTGATTATATTTATTTTAATGAAGTTTACCATCAAATTGTACTTTTTTAACAGCGTATATCTTAGCGTCCAATCTATGCTGTACTCTATATACTTTTCCAAAATTACCAGCACCAATTGTGTTCAACTCGATGAATTGTGCTTTATAATAACCAAGTCGATTTAATTTACTATCATTTTTCTCATTTACAACTACTTTCTTCATTGTGAGGAAATATACAATATTTATTATCTTACTAATTTTAATTTAACAATACAATAATAAAATAATAATAGTTTAAATACAACTGGTCAAATTAATAAATTAACAACTAGTATAGTTGTTAAATAGCATTATTATTTTAACATTTCTAGTAATTTTTTGTTACACGCAGCAATTGGTATTTATTTTATTTTTATAAACAATTGCAACCATCAGTGAATTCCATGGGAACCACATATTTAACAGATTTAATGAATGATAATAAATACTCAATAAATATATTGTAACTTGTTGAAAATTTAGTTTATTTCAATAGTTATAAAAATTAAAATACAAAATTTATTAAAACAAAAAATTAATTTTATTTAGACAACATAACTATATTAATATTGTTATTTTATTTTACTCATAAGAAATTGATAGAAAAATTGATTATCATTAGTTTTAAGCATATTTAGTATTTCATTTAATTGCTTATCGTTTGTCGTAATTATTTGTCTGTTGACAGACCAGTGATTGTAATCCTCGAGCACTTGACCACTGGTCGGCCGATTGTCTGCCATTGACTGAAACATTGATGCAATCATTTCATGCAATTTGTCAAAATTGTCCGAAAACTGAGTCAAACTGTATTTTTCTATTGGATTTTCACTAAACATTAAAACATTGAAATTATATTAAAATAAAATATAATTGTTTCAAATGACATACATATTGAATAAGTCAAATAAATGGTAGGCAATCACTCCCAGGCTATAGATGTCTACCTTAACGGTGTAATGGCTTTGATATATCTCGGGTGCCATGAATTGAGAAGTGCCCACATTAGTCGTGTGGCTCATGGATGTCATGTCGTGATCGGTGGCCAAACCAAAGTCACACAGTTTTACGAACCGTTTATTTGCATTGTTTTGTAAAACAAGTATATTTGCGGGTTTGAGGTCCCGATGGATATCCGGTGGACACGACTCGTGTAGATATTGGACACACTCTAAGAGCTCTTTGAATATTTCGCAACAAAGAAAATATTCAAACACTTTCATCGGGTCTTCCGGTTGTCTCCCGAAGACAATGAGTTTGTCCACAAGTATTGTCTTAAGACTTTGAGAGCAGTACTCCATTTGAATGTACAGATGATTGTTCTCAAGCCATGAGTGATAATATTTGACCACAAAATCTGAGTCCAGTTTAACCAGACTTTTCACTTCATTCATAATACGATTTTTCTTCTCTTCACTAAAACCTACAAAAATTATTTACAATTAATTTTAATTATAATAATATTAATTACAAAATACCCTCAAATTGCACTCTTTTGACGGCATATATCTTATCATCCAATCTATGTTTAACTTGAAATACAGTCCCAAAACCACCCGTACCAACCGCCGAGACCTCTATGAAATACCTCTTGTAATTACCATCACTAGACTTATCACCTGATAGTGAATTGTTATCATTTTGCTTTTCACTGTCCATTGCTTCTGGTATATCAATATAAATGGCATTATTTATTTTGCTCACAAAAGTAGGCATATCTTTAACAATTGTATTGTAAGTCAATTGGCATTCAGTGGCGTAAAAGTCGACAAAATTATCATAAATAGTTTCATACAATGTGTGTTTTGCTGTCAATTTGCATACTTTATTATCTATTAAAACACTGATTATGTTATTTCTATGGAAATTAACAAACGATTTAAATTGCGACAATTGTTGACAACGTATGGGTAGTATTTGATGTGCACTTTTCTCAACCACTTTATCGTTGTGTTCATTATTATAGCCATAAAAGTATAGCAAATCACTTGATGTCAAGTAATATATGCCATAACTGTTGCAACTAATTGTCTTTACAGCACAGGTTATGGTTTCAATTAATCGGGGTTTGAATACACTTTTATCCCGTATATTATGGCCCAACCGTTGCTCCCGATTGTCGCCCCAACTGAAGACCTGGCCATCGGTGGTGATCGCATAGGAAGACCAATGACAGCAATAGATATCACGTATTTTATAATTACCACCAAATTGTAACTCATAGGGTATGGACCGGAAGGTCTGACCCCCGCTATATTCACAGTCACTATCATTGCACCCGATTTGGCCCCAATAGTTACGGCCCCAGCCGTACACCCGGCCATCGCCGGTAAGGGCCAAACAGTGATCGTTACCGCAACACAATTGTGCGATATTTATGCCCACAAAGTATTGTATGATTGCCGGTGTCACGCATTCGGCCGTGTTTTTGAACATGGTGTAAAAGTATGACTGTTTACCCCGTGCCAATTGGCCCCACCTGTTATCGCCAAAACCGTATATACAGTTGCCATTCATTGCTAATACAAAATCGCAACCATTGCTAAAGTAGTGTATGCTTTGATGGCATAATTGTGGGATCAGTTCCGGTGATGGTATGGTATTATTGTGTCCCAAACCCAGGCATCCGTCGCTGTTTGCACCCAAACCGTAGACCTGATCATCGCTTGTGATAAATAAGACGTTAATATTTTTGCCCCAATCGTAGAAAATGTGTAATTTTGTGATGTTTTGCTTGATATTTGCGGCAATAGTGTTGCAAACTGTAAACTTTTCTAGCAATGCACACATGGTACATTTAATTATTATTAGTAGTTTTAATTATTAATTTAAAAGACATTATTTATAGTAAATGTTTTGTAATAACCAGGAAGATTTAATTTATTATGATTTTTATTCTCTTTATTATAAAATTATTTATTTATTTTGAAGAGATATATAACATTTATTAATTTATTGGTATTTTATTATTTATTTTAACTTAATAATACACAATTTACAATCATTTTTGCAATACACCATGCAAATTCTCAAATAATACAATAGTTAACAAATCAATATTATTTACATGTTTTTATTTTATATTTTATCGCAAACACCAATTGTTATTATTAGTTTGTTGTAACCAGGTTCAATTATCTATGAACTCCATGGGAACACATATTTAACACATTTAATAAGTGATAATAATTATTTGATGGTAGGTTGTTATTTATTTTAATTTATAGCAAAATTAATAATAATAGTTATTTATTAAATTATAACATTTTGAAATATGAAAAATTAATTTTATTTAAAAATGAGATTAAAATAAACTTATTATCTTACATATTTTAATTATTTTTTAGTTTTCATATGAGTTCACAGCATAGAAAGAGTGTTATACATAGAAATTGCACAAATTTGGGGTCAAAATGTGTTCACAAAGTGGATGTTTTAACGTATATTAATTATTTTAAAAATACATACTTATAAATTATAACTATTTATTATTTAATATAATACGTTAAGTGAAATGATTAAATTTTAAATTTATTGGCAAATTTATGTGTTAATAGAAAATATCGGAAATACAATATAACACTCTATACGGAAATAATAAAAACAATTTTGTAAATAATTTATATGAACTGAATGTAAATCAAATGATGCATACCTTCATGAAAATGGGAAAAGTCATGACAAACCAGTGGCCGATATTAAAGCCCAGTTTCCGACTACTGCTGAGTCTCTCGAAACACATCATTAACTTAAGCTTAAATCTCATGCGAAAAANAAGCCCAGTTTCCGACTACTGCTGAGTCTCTCGAAACACATCATTAACTTAAGCTTAAATCTCATGCGAAAAACGCCTCCATTTATACACCATTGAAGTCGTGATAACTTTTTGTGCATTTTATGCAAACGCTGTGAATACGAGGCCAACACGTACTTACCCCCGAATAGCATTAACCATGTTTCCGACACACTACATAAATATAACAACTGCAACGGCACCGACATCTGATTTGCCTCAAACAACAATTGATGTAAACTGATCAATAATATTGGATATATGGCCAATTGGATCCACATATACAACCCGTTGCAACACACGTTAATCATGTTCAAAGTGTTCCACAGGTGATCATGCTCATCCATGTAACGCACGAGCGTATGTGTTAGCTCCCTGTGCCGACCCTCATGTACTGCCGGTGCTTTTTGTATGTGTTTATTGATATGATTTATACGCAGAAATAAGTAGTATATCAAAGTACTAAATATGAACATGAGTATATTGTAATTGTAGTATATATGCGACCATGCTGATAGAGTGATTAGTATTGAAGACAATGCGTGCAGAAATTGGTCCATGATATATAATTGGTATACAGCAAAGATGTCTAAAAGTACCGTGCATAATACTGTGCATTTGGAGTATAAATACCATTATTAATTTAAGCAATATAATTTTATGAGAGAGAGAGAGAGAGAGAGAGAGAGAGAGAGACCTTACCTACTAACATAGGTGCCACATTTAACCATTTGTACCCATATTTTAAAATTTTGTTGATATGCCTGATTGTTTGCCGATCAGTGGTGGCCAGGTATACAGGGATCAGGCGATTACGCTGTCTAATCAAATCAAATATCTCTACAATAATGTGTACATTACCTGACTTTGATAAAAATAACCAATGATTTATCAGAAAGGCGCCAACGTAAAATAAAAGTAAAAGTATCAGGTTAAACTCTTGAACACCACCAAAAAATAAGGTTAAATTAAATAATAATAATCTTGTTTCGTAACTTAAATCATAAAAAATGCCCATGCTGAGTTTTACAATTAGAATGCCGTATATTAACTCAAAAACATAACCGTATAATTTTGATAGATATCTATTTTGATTATTTATTCGTTTTTCAAAAGCATCTAGATAAAAATCTATAAACACGTGATTAGCAGTGATAATAGTATTTCGGTAATGTGTTAATCTTATATACGGTTTAATTTTATTCATGTTTACGACATAAGATTAATGAAATATTTAAAAAAATTATATATTTTAAAAATTTTACAATCCCTAGTTTATAAGAATAATTTTTAAAGTCACGCATATTATCATTAATGTAAATTCAATAAATCAATAACACAGTATATGAAATCAAAATGTTTTATTTTATAAATGACACAAATCATTACTGTAAATGCGGCTTATTTTATATTACATAATCTATAATTAATTTCTTATTTTATTTATTAAAACATCATGAAATAGCTAAAAATCAATTGCCCTTATTGAAATGGTATTCAAAATAAAAATTCTATAAATTTGCATGACAATTTGCAACTATTTAAAAATAAACATTACGTAAAACTATCACTAATATTATTTTTCAACAAAGAGGTTATGCTAAATTAACTTTCTATAACTTATTAACGAGTAATTATTCATTTATTTGATCTTACGAATTAGCATCCTTTTTATTACTATTGTCATTATAAACTAAACTAGATTATTCTAGAGTCAATTCATCAAGATCCGCATAAAATACCAAATTTGTTAATCTTATATACGGTTTAATTTTATCCATTATTACGACATTAGATTAATGAGATATTTAAAGAAAATTATAATATAATTTTTAAATTTTTAAATCCAAAATTTTTAATAATAATTTTTAAAGTCATGTATATTATCATTAATTAAAATTCAATAAATCTATAATACAATACACGAAATCAAAATGTTTTATTTTATAAATGTCAAATATCATTAATATGAATGCAGTTTATATAATTGTATATTTTTAATAAAACTAATTTTATGTTATATACAGTATTTTATAATTGATTTCTCATTTTAGCATATATAAAAACTACATAATACAGCTAAAAATCAATTTCTCTCGTTGATATGCTTGTTAAAATAAAAATTATATAAATCACCATGACAATTTGCAATTATTTTAAAATAAACATTACATAGAACTATCACTCAATATTACTTCTTAACAAAGAGGTTATTCTGAATAAACTTGCTCTTATTATTAACGAGTAATTAATCATTTATTAAGTCTTTTACAAATTAGCATATCTTATATTATTATTGTCATTATATACTAAACTAGATTATTCTAATGTTATATTCAATTATATTCAATTAATCAAGATCCGCATAAAATACCCAATCATTCTAGCTATATAAATATAATAATGGTTAAAATCATTGATAAAACGGTACAAATGTACCATGGTTTTATCGATTCAAATAATACACTTGCTGTAAAGACCGGGCAAATTATTGAACGCTTTTATCAAAACACATTATCAATGGCCTCAACACCAGATGAGTATATGAATGGTATTTACAATAAACGCAAACAAATGCCACTAATTATGGCCAGAATTGTGTTATTATTAGTGGGCATTCGGTTTGCCGTCTCAGCGGTGGTCAATACCCGAGAGATGAGGGCTTTTATGTCGGATTCAAATTATGCATTAGGAAAGGGGCGACTCATCTCAATAATGTTTAGTATTTGCGCCTTGGTCATGCTATTTATTGGCGTAATGTTACAATATTTTGAATTTTGCGGCAACTTTTACCTACTTAATTTATTGTACAATCTTAAATACGATAATTTTGATCCACCACTGAATCAATATCACAGGGTTAAGTTTAACATTAGTGTAAATATGTTGGCAAAATATTGTATATGGCCAATATTCTGGTTGCTTATGATTGTAAGTAATGGTACCATTTTATGGGCAACAGTTACGGCTTATTTTAATACTAACTCTGGTTTTACAATTATTTCTATCATATTTTGCAGTATTTGTAATATTTTATGGTTAATGCAATTCTATGGTATGATTATTATAGCATTTCTTATATGGTATTCAAGCACTACTTATTTGAAATATAAATTTCTTGAAATCAATCGAGAGATTGAGATTTGTATTCAATATAATAGCCAAACAGTACTCATGAATGCCATTCAAAAACACAATAATATAACAATAATTGTCGATAAGTATAACATTATATTTAAATATATATTATTTGTTGTCTACTATATCGGGACGCCTGGTCTTGAGGTAATACTATACCTCACGTTTTCAAACGACACCAAATTTATAGCACGTTTTGTATTTGGATTTTTATTTCTAACAATTTATGGCATTGTATTTACGGTTAACTTTATGTGCATTCGGTTTACAAAACCCTCGTATAATTCACTTCCCATTTTATACTCATATATGAAATGCCGGAGTATTTCAGTGCAAAATCGTATCAAACTTTTGGCATTCATAGAGAGGTTGTGTTCACACGATATCTGCTTTTATTGTCTAAACTTATTCCTAATGAGTTCTCTTGAGTTTGCATTTTATGTTTACGCCGTTGCAAACAATTATATACTTATCATTAAATTTGTTAATTAATAATTATTTGTTATTATTTATTACTCTGTATTAAATATATCAAAATATATTTAATTTATGAAATAAAAGTTGAACCAAAAAGTCTTTACGTTTTTTACTGATTGAGTTTGAAAATCATTTTTAACCACAATTCGGATATAAATTATGTGGTTTATAGGATGGTTTGACCCCTTCCCCTACCCCTCCCCCGGTCCCCCAACCCAATTTATAATTGACTTGTTTTTTAAAGAGGTAACTTTTTTCGTTGAATGATAACATTCAATGTTTATTAAAACTTGTATTTTTAAAACAAAACTCATATATTGAGTAACGAATAAAAGTTACCTCTTTATAAGATGAAACGATTCAATTGTAAATCCTTTGAAAACTAAACACTTTAATAATTAATTGAATTATATATCAATTTAATCAAATTGTTTTAACTGATAGTAAATAAATAAAAATCAATTTAGATATATATAGATAGATATATATCAATATAGATAAATAAAAATCAATTTTCTCTTAATATTATGTCCGATAAAAAGGTACTTTGTTTTACACATAAGAAATTAATACATACACTATAAATTTTAATTATCTACATAAACGTTTGTTATCATTACATAAAAACTATTTGATGTAGGTTTCCAAACTTTTCACTGTTGTATAATTTAATTATCAAGTTATTCATTCCATTTAGTTATTTTTTAAAATAATGATCAAAGATCAGATTTTTAGGTGATTTAAAAAACGTCCCGAAAAAAACTTTTTTGTGTATAACAAAGTCAGTATTATTAAAACACCATTCTGTAGTTCTCGACATAAGAATTAATTTGATATGCTACTCGACCCATTTGACCTATAGGTTTGACCACAATTATATAAAATCAAAAGTGACCAAAAAAAGTTAATTGATTTTGCAAGATCACTATAAGAGGTACAGAAATAAATGATACATTTTAATAATGCATTTTAGTAAAGGGTTCAAAATTTTGCTATACGATCTTGCTGTGAGCTATAATATTTTTTCTTGTTCAAAAATTTTGCATTTCTTACAACTTTTGTTGTGTAATTTCTGCAATGTCTACAAGTAAAATGAGGCGTATAGTATATCAAATTAATACATTTAGCGTGCACTTTAACTTGGTGTTATCATAATGCTAATTTTTCTAAAGGTTAAGTTTTTTAAGACCTAACAACTACTAACACCTACCATAGACCTAACACTAATTAATATACAAATTATCCTAATAATTGTTCTAAAATACAGTAAGATTTAATTATAAATTGATTATAATTAATAAGTACAATGATTTCTTTGCAAATACCCAAAGATTTTCCTTTAATTTTGTTGATTTGCTATAGATTTAACTTTTATGTAGATACTTTTGACTCATTTCCATAGGGTCTATTATGTAGATAAATAAAATTCGTAGTGTATATGTATATTTATCAAAATAATAAACAGTATTTAATATTTACACAAATTTAGATTTTATCACAAGCTTATCATAGAATTTAAGTAACTTATAGTACAGTTACTTAACGTGCATTACATAACATGCAGTTTATATTTATGTGTTACATACAGTTGTAGATTAAATAAGTACTTAATAAATCTAAACATTTTGCTCATGCTACTTGTATAAAAGCAATAGTTTGTGGTTTATAAGTCAAAAATCATTTTAATTGATTTAACTTTAACTTCATAAAAATACTATTATAAAATGGTCCGTAAGTTAACCGTGTTGTTTGCGCCCATCAACTATGTCGGGCCCATCAATACAAGCATAGGGTTGGGAGAAGTGCTCAGAGATAGCGGCCATCGGGTGGTCTTTGCGACCACTAATGAATGGTTACAGAGATTGAAAAGTCTTAACTTTGAGATCGAGTTAATGACCGAAGAGAGCGATAAAGTGACCGGCGATTCTGCCGACGCTAACGTAGACGAGGCCAGTGACTTATTGGATAACAAAAGTCCATTAGAAAAAGCGTTGAGATGTATGTCTCTTATACTGAGAGACTATCACATGTCCGCCGAGAAAGACGAGCCGTCACTCAAGAGGATTATAAACGCTGTCAAACCCGATGTCATTATCTCTGATCACGTGTTAACTCTGCCATCAATTGCCGGTTCGGGTATTCCCTGGATATTCAGTCACAGCAGTAATCCGTTGTCATTGGACTTTGGTTACGAAGATAAGCGTTTACCGCCGTCTATATTAGGTATGATTTCTAAACTATAGTTTATTATATAATAAAAAAATTAATTGTTTTAGCTTTTATTTAATAGGTTTGTCTATAAATAGTGACAAAAACTTATGGGAAGAATACAGACAACAGTTAAAGAATGAGAGAAAAAATGATTGGTTTAAATACAAGGATTGGCTCATCAGTAATGGCTGTCCAGTAATACCAGAAGAGTTGCAGTTTTGGGCGCCGTCTCCTTTTGCAAACATCATATACAAAGGGTTTCTTGAGCTAATGTGCCTACAGTCCGGAAACGGCTTCTGAAAGGTAGCGAAACTAATAAAATTCGCTTGGCCTTTACTTCTGTGCAAACTTAACGGCCTGTTTGAGTTCTTATGATCCGGAAAATTGATTTATCTATCATTGGGTTCATTTGGTTCGGCAAATGTAGTGGTTATGAAGAGATTGATTGCAATTTTGGCTAAATCTGAACACAAATTCATTGTTTCAAAAGGTGTTAAACACAATGAATACGAATTGGCGGACAATATGTGGGGCGAAAGGACTGTCCCTCAGGTGAAAGTGTTGCCAATCATAGACTTAATGATAACACACGGCGGCAACAATAGTGTCACCGAAACCATGTATTTCGGGAAACCAATGATAGTTTTGCCCCTATTTTACGATCAATACGACAACGCTATGAGAATCGATGAAAAGGGTTTTGGTATTCGTCTGAATCCATACGAATGCTCGGAATCACAACTTCTTTCATCAATTGAGAAACTATTAAACGACACAAAACTTCAACAAAATTTGGCGAAAGTTTCCCAAAGAATTCAAACCGAGAAAAGCATCGAAAAGATTACACAATTAGTCGAAAGTTTGGTTAAGTAGCCACTAAATAATGTTTACATTTATAAATATGACTTTCACTTTATATTTACTAATATAAACGGAATGTCAGTTTGAAATATTCCACAATTTATGAATCAATTATAAAATTTATTCAAATAAAATAATGTCAAAAAATAAATGTTGAAATTACCTAAACTTTTATTGATTATATAATTTCAAAATATTGTTTAATGTGAATTGATACATAATAATATATTATGTTTTCTATCGAAATAAAATTATCTCAAATGATATGAAAAATTAAATTACACTAAAAATTAAGATTCATATAACTCTATAGATTACTTAATTGCATATACAGTAAATATACAGCATATACAGCATATACAGTAAATTTATATTCTGTATGTATAGTACATAGTCTGTCAATGCGTGCATATCTGTGCATTCGCGGGCAGAGCTATAATGTATTTCCTATGAGAGCATAGAGGCAAAGTATACCTTATAAGTCGTCCTTGACAGACCCTGGTATAGCCCTTAACTCGGCAGAACAAATTATGAGGCGGGTTTAATAAAAATTTTATTAGTAGTTAAAACAGCATGACTCGAATATAACGTACCTTAAAATGTTAACTTTATATTCAATATTATAAAAATTAATAAATTAAAAACAAAAAAATACAAATTTCAATTATATTTATTAAAATTTAATGAGTTTTAAATTTAAAAATTTAAATGTACGAATTTTAATACGTGCGTTCAATAAGTGCGTTATTTTTTAAATTTTACATTGGAACATAATTCCATTTAAAATATACATTGACATTGAAATAAAATCATAGATTGATCAAATACCTGAAGATTTTGTAAATTTGTTTTAATTGTTAATTAATGCAATGTATAATTTACTCATTAATTTCTTTTGAATATAATTTTGACAAATAAATATTGGTGCACTCATGTGTGATTTTTACACAAGGGGTGCACTTATATCCGGATATAAGTGCGATAGTTTTGGTGACATGCAAAATTCACTTACAGTCAAACATCTATGTTATCAACAAAACGGTTTGTGTATGGGTTGACAGGACAGAAGTTGTTATACATAGATTCTAAAAATTCTAATCAAAATATGTTGATATGATAGATTAGTTGACAACATAGAAGTTGACAGTATAGAGATTATTTTAACCGTATGTCTATGTTATGTGTATTTAGGTTTTGGGGTTTTGTTGATAACAGAGATGTTGACAGCACAGAAGTTTGACTGTATAAGCGAAACACACATTAAATATCTTTAATAATAATCGCCTGTTTTTTCATACAACATATACGCATATTTTTTCATGCTATACTCAATACAATGGACTTTATTTACTGGAAAACTGCTTGGTTTGTAAATTAGAAGGTCAACAAATGAGCTGGGTTGATTTTTCAAATATGCCAATCATATTTGAATCATGTTCATTCTGAATCTCTATTTGCTTGTGCCTCAGGCACTTAAAAACTTTTTATGGGATAGTACATTGTGTTCTACAATATACAGAAGTATATGTTTAGTAGATCGGAGGTCTGTTTGTCAACCGCATGAATAAATGTCATCAATAAACCATATTTAAATTAAATTAAATTAGCTACTAAACATAATCTGCTATATATTGTAGGACTCAATGTATACAATGTACTGTATTTTGTAATATTTAACAATATCACACGTTGTTTAAAATTTATTAATGCCAAATATTACTGTACAAAATAATTTTAACTAAATGTTTATCAGTTATATTTTTATCTAATTTAATTAAAGTTAAAGTACATAACATTTGAGTGCATTATATAACTGGCATTAAATGTTACCCTTGATTTAAACATCTCACTCGCAGTATAAAAGTAAGCGTCAATTTAAAGTAAAATATAAATCATTTCAATTGCAATTGTTGGTAACATTTTAAAAACTACTAATAATAAGTTATTATAAAAATGGTCCGTAAGTTAACCGTGTTGTTTGCGCCCATCAACTATGTCGGCCCTATCAATGTAAGCATAGGGTTGGGCGAAGTGCTCAGAGATAGCGGCCATCGGGTGGTCTTTGCGACCACTAAAGATTGGTCGCAGAGATTGAAAAGTCTTGGCTTTGGGGTCGAGTTAATGACCGAAGAGACCGATGGAGTGGCCGGCGATTCGGCCGACGCTAACGCCGAAAGTGCTAATGACTTATTGGATAACTCAACGCCTTTAGAGAAAGCGTTGAAAAGCATGACAATTATGCTCAAAGAATTCCTGCCTCTTATCGAAAAGGACGAGCCGTCACTCAAGAGGATTATAAACGCTGTCAAACCCGATGTCATTATCTCTGATCACGTGCTGACTCTGCCATCAATAGCCGGTTCGGGTATTCCCTGGATATTCAGTTATAGCAGTAATCCGTTGTCATTAGACTTTGGTTATGAAGATAAGAGACTTCCGCCATCGATATTAGGTTTGAAATATTGATATTATTTTTAAATTATTTAATTGAAAGAAACTTTAATATGATTTGATATACAGTAAAGTATATATAGAATAACTGAATTAGCTTTCATTTAATAGGTTTGTCTATAAATAGTGACAAAAACTTATGGGAAGAATACAGACAACAGTTAAAGGACGCGAGAAAAGATGATTGGATTAAATACAAGGATTGGCTCATCAGTAATGGCTGTCCATTAATACCAGAAGAGTTGCAGTTTTGGTCGCCGTCGCCCTTTGCAAACATCTATATGTTTCCCAAAGAACTCGATTACACGGATGTCAGGCCTTTGCCGAAGACTTTCCATCGCTTTGATTGTATGAAACGAAGCGGAAATGAAGACACGTTTGAATTGCCGGACAAACTCAAGAATAGATCCGGAAAATTGATTTATCTATCGTTGGGTTCAATGGGTTCGGCAGATGTTGTGCTTATGAAGAGATTGATTGCAATTTTG